AATCACTGAACAATAGTTGCTGTTATGGGGTTTTACTTTGTACAAAGTAGCATTAGTATCATTGCTTTCCATTAACCATACAACTTGCACTGGGGACTTCCACTGAGAAAGAAGAAGAGAAACAGAGAGAGGGAGATAAAGGGGGAAATGAGAGAAGGAGGGAGAGAGAGAAAGAGAAAGAGGGAACTAGAAACTATGAAAACGGATAAGAGTAATATTTGCACTATTAGCACCTAGTGATCTTGTACACTGGAATGAATACTATTTTGCATAGACCCTGTGCTTTTTTTCTCATTGTTTTCCAAAATATTTTAAGTGCCCTTATTTAGCATCAGTATATCCCTCTCCTCTGAAGTTCACACATAAATACACATTAAAAGCTAACCAGAAAGTACCAATAAAAACACACCTGGTAAACAAGTAACTTAATTCAAAGGATACTAAGCAATAACGGGCCTGGAGTGAAGATCCAATTAGCCAGTGTAGTGACAAGCAGTCAGCACCTTATTATTTAATCATTATAGAGAATCCTGCCATAATTTCCCTTTGACATTTTTTTAAAAAAAGGAATTAAGAATAAGCCACATGACCCACAACAATCTAAAGTTAGATGATGCTAAGACCCCATCACTTGCAAGGCTTGGATACAGTTAGAGGTTCGAGATTAAGTCAGTAAGTGAGACCTATGAAACATTTAAAATTTAAATAAGATGTATCCCAATAGAGGTATTTAGAAACAAATTGCTTTTAAAAAAAACAAAAAGGTTGGTTTTTTTGTTTGTTTTAGGCTGAAAATGTATTGCAGAGGGTTCTAGGATTCGTAAAATATCCACTAGCCTCTTCTGATTTTTCCTAAAGAAAGAGATTCAATCCATGAGGGACTTAAGGTTGTCCCTTACCTTGACACCTCTCTAGGACAAGACTTAAATTTCACTAGGATGAATCTTCACACCATGGGGGGCGGGGGCGAGGGCCGGCTGCAATTTCCGTCAAGTTTAAGTACCTTCAAACTATGTCTTAGAAACAACATCCCAATCTTTGGAAATAAAACACAATCGCCCTCCAAATTTCCCAAGCCCATTTGGGAAGGAGGCGCCCTGGGATCCAAAGGATCAAGTTTCCCCCCAGATCCGGGGCTCTAGCCACTTCTCGGGCAGCGTGGCCTGGGCGGCCGCCCCCCTTTTATCCACTCAGCTCCCACCCCATGACCCCCCCACCCCCACCCCTGGGATCCCAGCAGCACTTGGCATTTAACTTGCCCCGGTGAGCACGGCTTTCCGGTCCAATCTCCGAGCGTCACATTACTTCTCCCCAGACGTCAGAGGCCAATCTGGATTAACATGCAACAGGGCGCCGCGCACAGCCGGGCAGCCCCGACCCGGGAGCTGTTAAATGCAGATTCAGACGAGGTGCCCCTGGAGAGCTGCTGTTGAATAAAACTGTAATCCAAAGGGACCATCTCTCGGCTTCTCTTTCCTCCGGGGAAGAAGTGGGGCCGCTGCTAATACCCCAGCATAGGCCCAGCTAATCTGGACTGGCCAGGAACCAGCTAGACGACCCCAGGAGGCGACCTTGGGGACCTAGAGACTCTGCTTCTCTCTCCACTCTTCCCTTCGGTTCTTGGAGTTGAAAACATTTAGATTCCCGGAAGGACGAGCAACAGACACCCCAAGGGTGGAGGGCGACGGCTCTTTCCTGGAGTGCGGCCTACAAAGGAGCCTCTGGGTGCCCAGGGTCTGTGCTTCACCCTCTGGACGCTCTCTCTTCCACCACGGACCCCTCAATCACGCGCCCTGCCTCCCCTGGACTAGCATTCTTCCCCTGGTGCCAACCAGGCCGAAGCCTGGTCTGGATGCCTCGCAAGATTATCTCACTTTTGGTCCACTCCCGGGTCTCAGCCAGGTCCTCGAGCCACTCTGCGGCAGGAAAGACCCCCGCGGGTAGCTGCGGGCCGTCGGGAGGGCTCGTGCCGAGCCAGGAGCGCGGCCGTCGGGAGAGGGCGCCAGGAGGCCTGCGACCGTGAGAGACGGCTCTCAGGCCAGGGGACCTCCAGATGGCCTCCAACACCCCGGGAGCGAGGAATGCCGAAAAAAGGGGGAGGAGGCTTCTCCTGTGTCTTCATCTGATACCAAAAAATAATAATAAATAATAATAATAATGAGACTCAACCCTACGGACTTTACAAGGCCAAGTGGATTTCCGCCGATTTAGCACTCCGAGAAACCTCAAAAGTCGTCGATCCCAGATCCCTACGCAGTTGGCAGCCCGAGCGCCCTTCAAAGTAGGGCGGGGAGGGGGGAGGAAAATAAAATAAACCGTGCTGCCTGCAGGCCCTAGAGACAGAGGGGTTAATGAGCTAACGAGGCCCAGCACTCTCGCCATACCTGAAGCGTCAAGTCCCAGAGCATACCTGCTGCTAGGCCCAATCTGACTGCGGGCTGCGCGCGGACAGAGACAGGTGGAGAGGCCACCCTTTCAGCCTGGCCCCAGGGCACCCCACTAGGGGTTCACTGCCCCCTCTTGGGAGCCCCTGCCTCAGGCTCCAGTCTAGAGAACTGAAGCCCACAGGGCGGCCCAGATGCCTCGAACTTTATTCTCTACTCCCCTAGGGGAGGAGAGCCAGTGAGTATCCAGGCACCGTACCGCGTGCGCTCCACTCCGCGCCCCTCTCTCTACAACCAGTCCAGAAACACCAGATCCTGACTCTCAGGAACCTCACCATAATTAGGACTAACTTTTGGTTTGCTGCCCTTAGATCAAATGAAATCTGGATGCGGGATCACAAGAGCTAGTCCGCTTCACAACCCAACAGCGCCAGGAGCCCATGCGAGGCTGCAAAGCCCACCTTCAAACGTCGGGGACCAGATAGCCTGCTTATCTTTTTTCTCGCTCTCTTTTTTTAACAGGTAGGAAGCCAGCATACAACACGAATTTTCACCCAATTCGATGATACACTAGTCTGTATATCTCCAATTAAGGGAAGCGGGTATCAAAACTTTACCGAAGAAGTACAGGAAGAATTCCGTGATGTTCTATCAATCGTTTTATCCCTTCTCCCCAAGAGCACTCCAAACACCTTTGGTTCTTTTACCTTTGACTTGAATAAAATAATGATTCGTTGCGAAAACGGGGTATAAATCTTCATCTTGGAGGCAATTAAAGTGTTGATTTCATTCGTGCCCCCAAGCGATTCTTGTAATTTGCTCAAATAGCTTTACATACCCAGCACTCCGAAGCTTTTAGAATCCCATTTTCTAGTTAGGCTTGTTGGATTACAATTTTTACTCAACAGCAGCTACCCTAGGGTTCCGGGGAGGAATCTGCATTTAACAGCTCAGGGACTGGACCCCTTACTCAGCCTCCACAGTCTGCGCGCAACCTGGGCTCCCCCGCGCCGGGATGACACAAACCCAGCCCAGTGCACCGCCAAGAAAGTTTGCAACTCGCCGAATAGGCGAGTTAAAGATCTGGAGAATTTGGCGCTTTTAAAGCACTGCTTTCCCGCACTTCTCCCAGAGCCAGGAAGGAATTCAGCCTGGGTTGCAGGGTTGCATATTCAAGCAGGGTATTTATTTATTTATTTGAAAGATAATTTGAGGAGAAGGAAAACCTTAAGATTAGACCAAAAAGTGAAGTTTGTCAGGGCTCTTCAAGACGGAAGCTAGCCAACAGTGATCATGGTAGAACTTGCAAAGGAAAACTATGAGGAGTAGCTGGCCCTTGGCTTAACAAAGAAAGGCTGGCTGATCACTTCTCCCAAGAAGGGCCTCACGTGCCAAGTATGAAAGAGAAACTCTAGGCCTTCACTTATATGCGGAGGGGGTTAGAGGAGGCTGCTCCCCAAATCTCGAGACTCCTTGCAATAATTCGCAACAGAGCTGTCCCAGGCCCTGTTTCATCTCACTCACTTCTCACGTTTTCACTTTCATTGCATTTTTCCCCCCCCGCAACTCATTTGGACCAATCCAGAGACACAGAGGCTGGAAAGAAAGGGGGGAAATGGGAACCAACGGTGGCGTCGGGGTGACAGAGAGGGGGGGGAAGAGGGAGAGAGGGAGAGAGAGAGAGAGAGAGAGAGAGAGAGAGAGAGAGAGAGAGAGAGAGAGAGAGAGATCTCCCTTCTCCCCAGGAACTCCAAATAAAAGTCGTCCCTACTTAGCAACCCAGAGGAAGAATGGTCTGGAGGGAGGATCTGGAGGTGGAGGGAGAGCCAAGGGCCAGGCAGCAGTGAGCGCCCCCACCCTCCACACCCAGGAGCTGCCAGGGTGTCTCAGAAGCTGACATTTCCAAAAGCTGCCAATGCAGAGGGCCCCAGACCACATACCAGCTGGAGGACAAGTGGAAAGGAGGAGGAGAAAAGTCCATATTTATCTGTTTATCTAACCTCGGCCTGGTCTTATTTTTTCTATTAAGTACAATAAAATGGGCGAGCTTGCAGCGAACATCGCACAAAGCAATGTTCAGTGAGGTCTAGAAGCGTTCGGCTGAGGAAAACTGACAAGACAGGCTAATGAACCGTACAGACAGGGAGAAAATAGCCAGCATTTGCTAGATTTCAAACCCTCCCTGTCTATCTTAGACCACCTATCTTGGATTTATTCCTAATAAAATAAGAAATAAGCAGACCCTACACTTTTCTTTTCTTCAAGATAGAGGGGGGAAATGCTTATGAACAAAGCCCGACAATCGAGGCAGTCACTGGCAGTTAACACTCCCATTATTATAGAGGGTAAATAAAATAAAGACAAAAATTAAAAGCGACAAGAAACAGGTCAAGTTTGCCGGCAAAGCTTTTTACAAGCTCATCTCTCCAGGTCGAATCTCAGAGCCAGCCTTAATGAAGCAATAATAGCCACATTATTCAAAAATTTTCATTTCGATGGAAATGTATCTAAAAGGGACTTAATCATATGCAAATAATAAAAGGAGGTGGTAGTGACCCAGCAAGCAATATGCATACAAATTTTTTTCCAGGGATGTTGAAATTGAAAAGTGCATACCTGGTCGGTTAGATTTGCTGATCTTGTTATATCTTCACTGTCTGATTTTGATCCTCCTTCTCTATCATCTATCACCAAATCGATAGGCATTTTCCCTTTCAAACAGCTAATATACCGGTGGCAGAAATTGTCACATAATTCGTGTACCTACATTATGACAGAAATAAAAAAAATGGAAATATAATCAAGAGTGTGTAAGTGACATTGACAAGTGCAATCCACCCCCCTTGTGAGACCCAAACTTCTAAATAAGGGAAACACAAGTCAATTGTCCTCCAGAGACCCCCAGATGCATCCAGAATTAGGAATAACTTTCTTTTCTTGCAAAATAGAGATATCCCAGAAAATTGACAGTGACAAGATGATTCACAGGCTACAACATATTCAACACCCGTGTTAAATTCATCTGCTCCCGGGGCTGTGGCCATTAGAGAGGTGACCTGCGTAGGTGACATTTAAGGTAAACTATTTAATTTCACCCCGTTACTTTATCATAAATCCTTTTCCAAAGTGTCTACACATAATCTCTAAAGAACCTGTTCTGTGGTGACATAGTATGTGCATATGTATGTATGTCTGACAACTCAAGTCCCTGTGACATTTATAATAATTAGTGTGTCTACCCAGAAGGAGCATATTTTTGGGATACTTCTTTTAAAAAAAAAAGAAAGAAAGAAATCAAGGTTCCAGTACTCATAATATGAAAAGAAATCTATAGCCACAAATTTATCTGATAAGAAAGAAAGAAAGAAAGAAAGAAAGAAAGAAAGAAAGAAAGAAAGAAAGAAAGAAAGAAAGAAAGAAAGAAAGAAGATTCCAAATATTTAGGCATAAGTAAAGAGGACTCTTGCAAGCCCTGGGCATCACTGATATGCAAAAATTCACAAGAAACCCCCACACACTGGCAATTTAATGTTAGTTTGAATTACAATGCATTAAGTTTTTATTGCTGAGATTTATAGAACAGCTAGCAAAATCAAGTTATCCCACACCCTTTCTTGAGTGTGAAGGTGGGGTGTGTGTGCTGGGTTCAAAGATTCAAAGAATTGACACAACCAGTAACTCTGCTTTGTCTCTGCAAAAGGCTTAATGGGCCTCCCCCACCATCTCCTCCAGACTCCTTTGCCCACTCCTCCTCCCCTTCTGCCTCTTCTGGGTCTGACCTGCCGCTGCTCTCAAACTGTCTTCCAAAAATTCAGTTAAAACTAAACAACCCCCCCCCACACACACACACACATACCCAAGGTTGCAAAGCAGAATAGGAAGAGGAATCAAAGAGACTGCAGAGGTATTAACCTGGGAAACAAACTCACAACAGCACTTGGCCACGATGCATAGACTTGTAACTATTTACACAAAGCCAGCAAGGTATTCAGAACCTACACAAGGCCAGGACATTTGTGATCTCAGTTTTAGTGGCTGAAATTGTAATTAAACTGCAAAGAGAAATGGACTCTAAGATTGGCCTTGACACTAATTACCAGCAAGAAAGACATTTATGCAAAATATTTCAGAAGCCTGAACTTCATCCTTTCTGAATCCTCTCCTCTGTGTGTACTGGGGGGTGGGGGGGGGTGGAGAGTGGATGAATGAGAATGAGAAATAAAGGGAAAACAGACTAAAGAAATTACCTTCTCTAATTCCAACAGATGAAACCTTAATACTTGTATGGCTTGAATCATCTGCAAAGATACAAAAATGAATGAGTACCCCATTCTTGGTTTGCAGAAAATCGGCTGTTAGAGCTCTAGCTCCTCCAGGGCCCCCTCCACCCGGCACCCCCAGTAAACAGAGTTATTTTGATTTATGGCAATAACACTAAAACTTAATAGCAGCAACCGTGTACCAGCTAGAGGTTTATATTTCTTAAGGAGAGAAAAAAATAGCTAAAACAACAACAAAGCATCTAAGTGGAGATCATAAACACTCTTCTCCCCCAAGGTTCTCTCCTTTCTGGGTCCCATGGCCCACCACCCCAATCCCCAAAGGACCACACTACTGGGCTTAGAGGTTTGCTTGGAGGGACTGAAAGGCAAAAGAGTGCAGATTGCTCCCCAATTGTGGCTTTTCACATTGCAAAACTTCCAGCTGCCTTCTGCACACCTTGCTGGCCGGCAAGCTGGTTGTTTGAGGGACTCTTGTCAGGTCACTGTCCTGGTGACAAGACTTTGAGGGCTGGAAAGTCGGCAAAGTTTAAGCACACACGCTGACAGGACAGGAGATAAATCCCCGTGCTGATTAGGGCTGCACTGCCCGGCTGTCATAAAAAACAAAAGCTCGCGTTTCTCCCGGCTAGCTCGACCGGGCCCTTGCAGATGAATATGTTTCCCTGCGAACTTGTCCTCAAACCACTTATCCAGGCAGGGAGAAATGTTTGCAGGAAGACCCATCTAGAAACTTCCAGACTCTCAAAGCAAAGCAGGAGAACTGGGATTGGGCAGAGGGAGATGGGGGAGGGGAGTAAAGGGTCATCTCTTACCAAGTTATCCAGTTCTGGATTAGAAGAAAATAGAGGTTTTTCTGCGCGGATCTAAATACAAGTGAGGAGGAAGGGAGAGAGAGGGAGAGAGGGGGAAAAAGAGGGGGAAAAATGAAATCTGGTCACCTTTCTAGTTTTTGGCCTTATTATACTGTCAGGGACAGGGCTGTAACCTGGGGGAGAGGGCGGGGGCTTGGTGACTTTGAGTTTGTCCCCAACAGACTTCAATGTGAACCAAATAAACTCAAACCAAATCTAGAGTTCAGTCTTATTGCTAGCAACTATGCTTCTCAGACTGTGGGAGTCTGCTCAGTTCGGCCAAGTCCCAAGCACTTACAGGGCCTGGTGTTAGTGATTTTCTTCCCTAGTTTAGGGACGGTGAGTGGACATTAAGGGGGTGATTTCAAGTTATCCAAGAACACACACGCTCAACTCAACTCGGGGGAAGAATCTCGGGCTGGGTTTAACACGTGGGGCTTATGGGAGACGACCTGCTGGTGACTTTTGAATATGTTGCTGGCTGTGTGTGTTTGGGGGCAGGATCCCTTCTTGTTTCTTTTACTTTTTTTTTTTTAACATTTGTTTTGCTGACCTGTTTGGCGAACACGGCTATATCTTCATTGAATGACTCTGAGGAGCAGACGTCCCCGCCCGCCACCCCCGGCTCGCGGGGGGTACAAGTAGCTAATTCACATTTCTCAAAAATCAGTGCTAAGAGAGGGAACAGGGGGTGTCTGTAAGAAAAATACAACAGTCATAAACAACACAACGGTTAGTACCCAGTCACTGGGGGGGGGAACAAAACAAAACAAAACAGGCGCTCAAGACAAACAGCCAGAGAAGCTTGAAGCAGAGACCTCCCCTCCCGACTTGGTCATCTACTTTTCTCCTTTTCCTTGACCCCCGCCTAGGTGACTGGTCACCTTCTTGGCTTCCTAGGACTCTCAACTCCGAGGCCCCGACTCTTAGACCCTATCTGAGGATCAGTTCAGTATCTGGCTTGAGAAATTGACAACATTTGCTACGAATAAAACCCAAGCGGTTCCAGCAGCCATTTTGAATCAAGTTTCCCACCCTGACAGACCCTTGGCCCTGGGCTGCAGGTCCAGGACTTGTGAGGGGGAGGGAGAAAGGCTCCGGACCCAAGGGGAGGAAGAGCTTTCTCTGCCAGTCGGCCGCGCGAAGGCCGAGCCTCTCCGGATCTTGGTGGCAGGCATTCAGCTAACTTGGGGACCTCTGTGGCTAAGGGACCCTCGTTCACTGGGCTGCACCTATACATCCCTGCCCCCAAGGGCCTTGGAGAGCAAAGAGGCCCTTCTTTGCCTACCATGACGCTCCCCTCCCTTCGCCAATGGTCCTCACCGCCCCCTGAAGAAAGTTCTTCCTACTGTTCTGTGGTGAAGCTGAATTTCATTTTTGTCTTTTCGGAGTGTCAAAGTATCCAGTATTATGCAGGGCCTGGGTGTCGCTTGTGTCAGGCCATAATAAAAGAAGAGGAGAAAGAATGAGGAGGAGGAAGAGGAGGAAGAGGAGGAGGAGGAGGAGGAGGTGGAGGAGGAGGAGGAGGAGAAGAGGAAGAAGAAGAAGAAGAAGAAGAAGAAGAAGAAGAAGAAGAAGAAGAAGAAGAAGAAGAAGAAGAAGAAGAAGAAGAAGAAGAAGAAGAAGAAGAAGAAAGAAAGAAGAAGCTCTTTCTAATGCCCAAGGAGATGTCTTCAAGTCTTATCAGTTCCTATAGTCCAGCTGGGAATTTAACAGCTTCCCCAAATACCCTTGTCCCAGACCCTAAACCATCTGCAGCCCACATTACGAAGAGAAAGCTGGGGTTTAAATGTGTCCATAGCGCAAGGAACCAGAAAATAAAAAGCACAAAGATTTCGGCGCCCCCCCCACCACCACCAGGGAGGGAGGGTCAATATTGCAATTTTTAAAGTCATAAATAGAAACAAAAGTTGCTGCAAAGTCAAAAGGGGTCCCCCAATTCATCAGCACCCTGTAGGCACGAGTGAGTTTCTAGTGCAAGCTGTAATAGGATGGCCGAAGGGAACGCGGAATATAAAACCTCGGCCAGAAAACCTCCCGCCGAAGAGAGCACCCCGCATTAACTTCTTGCTAAATCCTGTAGGTTTCGCCTTGGAACACAAAGTGCTAAAATAGCTAGAAGTTTCTTAATGTCTTCAGCGATCCATCGCCAGTGAGTCCTCCTTGCTTTCAGTGGTCAAACCTCCTAAATGCAAAACATGCTCTCCCCCGTCTGACCTGCAGCTGTCCCGCCTTGACTTCATTGTGAGATGGCAGAGCCAGCATACGGTTGCTGAGTAAACTTAGCAAGTCAGAACAATCAGTAGCTTAAAAGATTTTCCCTTACACTAAAAGTTTCGTTCCAACACAAAGGCTCCTACATTCAGAAACCCCCAACGCTCTTGAACGAAGCTGAGCAAGCGAGCGAAATCCCTGGTCCGCTGGGCCAGAGGCGGAGAGCGGATTGGGGAACCTTTAGGTAACTTCTCCCCACACTGGGACCCCCTTTGCGGGCGACCACAGAAGCGGTGGGTCTCAGCCGCTGAGCCGGCTGGGAGCGCATACAGACAGGGGAAGATGGGGAGGGGTGGGGTTCTTCGGGATGGCAGGCCACCTCTCCAAATTTTCCATGCAGTTAGGGCGAACCAGCTATGTACCTCCACTCCAGAGAACTCTGACTTTGTTACCAAGGGCACGGGGAAATACAGGGGAAAAATCGCGCCTCAGCTACTTAACTGCTGCCCATTGTACCTACCCATAAATGGCATCTTTATCTCTCTTTAAAGCGTCATTGACCGAGGAGCCCATGCTGGGGGCCATGGCGTTGGTGTGAGCTGTGTGCGGGTACTGATGCGAATGCAGAGGAGGCCCATGGTTCAGGTGGTGGACCGGCTGCATGGACCTGGCTGCATGCGGGTCCGCATACATCGTGGAGGGGATGCCTACTCCATCCATGCCCCCGTAATGGGGTAGGTCGTCGTACTGCATGACAAACAAGAGAGAAAGAAGGTTCAGAAGACCGGCAGAGTAAATAGGAGACCGGCAGGGCACTGAGCTTATATAAGGTCAGTCCAGCTTGGAGCCTTTAACCGGGAATTCCGTGGCCTTGCATCTCTCACGTTGAGGTTTCTATTTGTAGAAAAATAACGTTGAAAGTTAAAAAAAAAAAAAAGTCTAAGATTCTCGGTAAGCCTCCTCCGAGATGAAGGTTCTTGCCCTAACTTGTGTCCTTCCTTCTTGACTACTTCAGAATATCAGAATCCCCTGCCAAGGAAGAAAGGAAGAAAGAAGGGAAGACAGAAGAGAGGCATTCTCCCGGAGGGCGAAAGGTAAAAATGTGCATGTCTCTGGAGGAGGAAATTGAAAATCACAATAATAAAACGTGCCAGGACAGTGCAGCAAACCCGCCTAGTTTCCCAGCTCCTTTACATTAGGGGGAATTCAAAAGGAAACAAAGTTAGATGGGAACCCACGCACGTGAATTCAGACAGGCTTCTCATTTTATGTCCCTGCCAGAGTGAGGTTGGGCACTCGTGCAAGATACTACATTTCTTATGCTTTCCAAGACAAACTCTGCAAAATTATGCAAAATGAACTGACCTCTTTAGATGTGAGGCACAAATAAAGATAGCTTTTCCTATACCTTTTATTTTCCTTAAATTTCGAATCAGGGCATTTATCCCCAAAAGTTAAAGAAAATTTATAATCGAAGCAGTTAATATTCTACTCTAATTGTTTTCTTGTGAACTTTATCTCTAGACTAGTAGGAAAGGCTACTCACTAGGTTCAAATTCTAAAGCAAATGAACACAGAACCCCTCTCTTCTTCATCCAGAAAAACTTTCATATTGATTGTCATTTTTGTGTGCTAAATATAGCTATTTAGATTTTCTCTAATGGCTTTCCTTGCCAACAAGCTCTTTTCCCAAGATTTGGAGGTGTTTAGAGTGAAATGATTTTCAAAGAAAAGAGGAATTGCCACTTTCATCCCCTTAAAACCAGAGGTGTGAAAAGAGTTTGTTCTTACTCTGACATTTGCCTGAACCAAAGGAGTAAAGAAAAAATGTGTCAGCCTAGTAACTTTCTTTTGCAAACAGGGCTTTGAGGGCCAGGACACAAATTATGCAAGGAAGGCTTTTTGTAGACCCCTTTCTTTTAAGAAACTATCAGTTGGGCTGTCATTGTCTCACTTTACTCTCACTACATTTCCATTCAAATAGGAATATTGGGGGAATCAGTATTGCATTTAAGAAGTGAGTTGCTACGTGCTTAGGATCCAATTAGTACAGGGCTTATCTAAGAAAAACTTGCAAAGCAATCCCTTGCATAAAAATACATGGAAATTAAAATTACTTTAAAAAAACGTTTTCCAGTCCCAAATACCCTACACTGTGGCGAGGTTAATTCATTTCAAAAAGCTGAATGCTTCTAATGATATTAAATATGAATATAATCAATAACCTATCATGAGTTTTTACCTGCTTATTTTTAGTTTAAACATATCTTTAAACTTCTCGGAATACTCAAATTATAGTACCAGGCATTTAGTATTTTCTTTCTTTCTCTCTTTCCTTTTCTTTCTTTCCAACAGATGATGACTTGAGTTTGCATTTTTATTTATATAGCTACTGGTTACGAATTTATAGAAAACTTGACTACTTGAATTAACAACTAAAAGTATTGTACGTAAGTCTACAATTGCACTGAATAAATCCTCGCGCTTTAGGCCATGGCCTGAAGAGCCCCATTCAAAAAGAGAAAGAAAATAGGAAACTTTTTAACAGTGTCTTTCAGCCACGTTTCAATTTAATCTCACATTTGACTTCCACAATTGTTTTTTAATACGTACCCTTTGCGCCATCGGCCTCTCTGGCTCCCTTCCTACTTCAACTTCTAATATATCCTCTTTAAGGCCAGTGTGAAAAGAAACAAATATGCAAACTCTCCCAGAAAAAAAAAAAAGCACGACGGAAAAAAAAAATCCCTTAACGTTTCCAGCAATGTGAGCTACTGGTCCCAGATCTTCGGTCTACCGGACCTGAAGCGAAGCGCCGGAGTCACAGAGCATAAAAGCGCTCCGTTTCCAAGACAGCAGAGGGGGCAAAGGAAAAAAAAAAAAAGCAGATCTTCTCTCCCCCAAAAAATCAGTTAAAAAAAAAAAAAAAGAACCCGAGCGCCCCTCAGACTCAACTACCAAATCTCATGGCTTTCTGCCACTCCAGCTGTCAATCACAAGCGAGGTTGTCAACGTGGTGAATGAATGATCATCCGCTCTGTCTTCTTCTGGTCTCAGAACACCTCAAATGTTAATATTCAAATGCACAAAGCCCTAGCGCTCGCTTCCCCTGAATCAGTCTTAATTCCTAATCAGTTTCTCTCTTCTCTCTCTCTCTCTTTCTCTCTCTCTCTCTCTCTCCCTCTTTGCAACTGCTGCACTGAAAGGAGATTAGAGAAGGAAGGTTAAAAAAAAAAATGTCTGTCTGAGTTTGTCTTAAAGGAGCCACGATCGATGCTGCCCGCTTGCAGTCCCCGTGCGTGTGTAAGTGTGTGTTGCACAGGCGGAGAGGTGGATTCCGACCAGAATGCTAGAACCCGGAAGTAGTGGTGGCCATAACAGGTCGCGTCTTACACAATGCATTGGGCTGCAGCAAGTAGGCTCCTCGGCAGGGGTGGGTGCGCGGAGCGAGCTCTGGTCGCACTAGAGAGGCAGAAAAGGCGCTCCATGAAATCGTACGCCCAGGCACAAACACCAGACACCCTGGACACACGCACACAAATGAAGGCTCAGCTCCCAGCCCACGGCTTTATTTTCTGTCTCCTTCTCTCCCCCCCACCCCCTCCCAAACCCCTCCAGACTCTCTCTCTCCCCCAAAGCGGACTCCCTTGAAATAAATTGGGAATAATCGCGGGGCAAGGGAGGAAGCGGGAGTTGTTTTGCACAGGATTCCGCGCGAAGACTTCAAGACTTTCCTCGAAATTATTGGGGTCTGCCAGTATTTTCTCGGGGCGGGGAGTGTGTGTGTGTGGGGGGGGGTTGAGGCACAAAGTACTGGATTCTCAGAACTAGACTCTCTCTCTCTCTCTCTCTCTCTCTCTCTCTCTCTCTCTCTCTCTCTCTCTCTCTCTCTCTCTCTCTTTCTCTCTCTCTCTCTCTCCTAGGAGAAAAGTCAAACCGCGAGCCCGGAGAAGAGACGCCGGAGCTGGGCTGGGGAAAGGCTCTGCCTACAGAGTCTTGAGAACGTGGGGGTGGAGGTTAACTTGGGTTTTCTGGGAGCCCCGTTTAAGAGTTTCTTTTGCGCTGTCGGAGGTGGACGGCGGACTGAAGGAGAGGAAATGTTGGCATTTTATCACTTTGGGTCTGGACACCCCCACCTCCCCGCCTCGGGAAGCCCCCAGCCCCAACCCCGGCGATCTGCTGGAAGTGAGAGGGGAAGGGAGGGAACAATGGGCCGGGCGCTGGGAATGTGCCCCCAGCGCCTGTTTACAAACACCGAGCTATTTATGATCGCCGGAAAGCGAAACTCGACGCGGGCACCCAGCAGCCCAGACCTCGCGGGCGGAGCCGGAGCCCGGGCTGGGGAGCTTCAAGAAGGGAAGCTCTTCCCTCCCCCCCTCAACCCCCCCCCCCCCATCCGCTCCAGGCAAGGCAGAAAGCTGTGCGCCCTGGGCGCAGCGCGTTGGGGCCGGAGCGCTGGGCTCTGGCTACGGCGGCAGCCTGCGCCTTTGTCTTCGAGGCGCGGTGGGGACTTCAGCCACGGCCTCGCTTGGGCCTGGAGGGTCTGCGTACCCCCAGCACTTTCCCCAGCGACACCCGCGCTTTCCTCCCTAGATCTCCAACCCCATACTCCGCTTTTCTATTCCCCCCATCCCGGCTGGGAGAAAACTCCTAAATCCAGAAAAAAGAAATCCACTTCGGGAGCTGAGATTTCAGACAAAAGCTACCACTACCCCCATAACTGGGAGTCCCCAAGCAACCACTGGTTTTTAAGTTCCCCTCTCCCCCGTTAAATACCTATTCTCTGGACTCAACATTGTTTTCTTGTTTTTATTTCTTCCACTCTAATTTGGTCCTTTATTAATTCTACTTAGTGGTTTAGACTTTATTGTTTCTGTCCTCTCGGCTCAGATCTGCCGAGATGTCTCAGCCTTGCAGCCCTACCAGCAGCTGGGAACCTCACATCCCGAGCTGGGCTGGCAGCTCGCTCCTCTCCGAGAGGTTTTTTTCTCTCTCTCTCCCTCTCTCTCTCTCTTCTCTCTCTCTCTCTCCACCCTCCCTCCAGCAGAAACCTCGCAGAAAACTCCCCCTGCGGTCGACTGGAAAATGAGCTCACCCAAATCTCGGTAGGCAGCCGTGGAAAAGGACTCCACCAATCAGAGGGCACCCCCGCCCAGGCGGCTTCGCATTGGCTGTGGGGAAAATCAATTATCAAATAATCGATCAGCAGGGAGCTTCGATCTGCCGGGAATGCAAACTGCCGGTCCCGATTCCCGCCCTGAAGGTGGCCAAAAGGCTGATTTCCCTCAAAGCAGCCGCTCTGCGCTCCCATCACCCCTACCTACCCCCGCCACCCCGTCCCACCCAGCCAGCTGTGATCCGAGCCCTCACCCCAGGGAGTGGGGGTGGTGGGTAGTCAATAGAAGAGTTTTGAGAAAGATTAGGAGGCACCCTTCAAGCGGAGATTGTTGGGGGAATGGTTACAAGCTCTCAAATCTACTGAAACCAACTCCGAGGCTCAAAGTAAAAGAAAATGTGCATCCGTTCGCGAGGAAGTGCGTCGGTTTCTGCTGAGTGGGCTTCCTAGGAGCGAGGGGGCAGAGGGCAACCTTTAAAGCGTAGATCTGGAGTCAAAGGCACTGGGCTTCCACCACGGCGACTCGAGGCTTCTTTTAGCACCCCGCACGAGTCAACGCCGGGTTGGTTCGCCCCAGTAAGTGTTGCGCACCCAAAAAGTCTAGCAGAGGAGTCTTCCCAGCCTTCTGCACCCCTCCCCTCCACACACTCCGAATTTGCCTCACACATGCCCGAAGGGCTGACACGGTCACCCCAAACCTCCAGAAAAGCTTTGTCTTGTAAGCAATCCAAATCTTTTCTTTGGAGATAATCTCTCTCCAAGATCCTTCAGCGTAAGTCTTTGACGTTTTCCCTTTTTCTTTTTGGAGGGGTCTCTTTTTAACATATTTTTTTTCCTTCTGCACTCCAGGTTTTAAGATTTGATACTTTTCTCGTCACATACTTCTGTTGAGTTTTGTGGCACAAACATCAAGATACATCACTTAGGGAGCTAGGGCAAGACAGAGTCAACACCAGGGCCGGGCCAGGTGCCTGACCAACAGGCTCTTCCTACTCGTCTCCCCCCCCCCCCCCCCCAACTCGAGTGAACTTGAAAGGAGAATTTCTGGCTAAGATGGAATCTCCCGGCTTCAGGCTGAGCCTGGCAGCACATTTCTTTTCCGATTATGGAGACAGGACTAAATCTTCCAGCCTCCGGGCCCCCCCCTTCCTCAATTCCAGAAGCCTTCGGCCCAGCCCACACCTGAGCACGTTGGGACCGGTGCTCCAGGGGGTCTTTTTAGCAGTCCTGTTAAGCTTCAGCGAGGCTGGGGTCTCCTGAGAAATAGGGGAGGAGGTCCAATCAGACACTGACTTGGGCACGTCTACATTTATGATCCTTAAATGAACTGTGAGGGAAATTGTGCAAGTGTAATTTAACTGAGAACTACATTTATATGGCCGTGGTCTGTAACAGCCTTAAGAATCCTGGAGCAGACTTAGGTAAAGAATGAGTTTGAAGTAAACTCTTAAGTCCAAGTTTAGGAAAGGTCAGTTTTTGATCGACTGATTTTTTTTTAAACAACGGGATTTATTTTGTATTTTTGCTTTCCAGTGAATTTTTTCCTTTTGTTTTCTAGCAGAAATGACAAAAAGACATTACATTTAGCTAAGTAACTTGTTCCAAACACCTCAACTCATCATAGCAAAGTGGTTACTTTGTATGCTTCCATTCTATGTGGGATTATTTTAAAACTGTACTGTACTACACAATAGTTTTTCTTAAAGAATGCACTATTTGGAGCTGAAAACAAACACCTAGTAATTGTGAAATGTGCCATTTTAAGCGTGGACCTAATACTACTTCTAGGCCTGTATACTATTAATTCTGAACATCCGAAGGACTCCAACACTTTTACAATGTAATTACAGTAGTACAAATTGTTTGCCCAAACCTCATTCTGGATAAGGATTTTACAATTAGCAAACAGTTATTACAGTTGGGGCTTGCTGAGAGAAATTGCACTGAGCACATGTAGAGTTCCAATAGAGTACCATAAAAAAAAAAAAAAAAACTCTTCCTTTAGCAAGGCAGCAATTAATCATCTATTAAAAGGAAAAAGTGAAGGGACAGTTGTAGGTATCTTAATAAACTACTGCTGATATTTATGCCTGTTGTGTGACAGCACCTTTCCCACGCTTATTTCAGGTGCTTGCTTTTAAGGCAATGGCACGTTTATGTTGGGGGGGGAAAAACTGGGCCTGGTAATGAGCTCTGCTGACTCTTCGTCCTAGCTCTTGAGATTCTCTACTTTCCCTCCCAGTCCCAGAACATCTTCCCAAGGATAGAGAGAACAAACAGGCAGGCTAAAAGAACAGGCTGGGCTGAAGTAGAGGGAGGTTGAGCCCTTGGACTCTATTGTTTATATTCTCCTATAGAGATGCATTTAAAGCCATCCTCTACTCGACACGGGGAACTGCCTTTTAAGTGTCTGTTCTCCCGCAAGGGGTTGTGCCTTTAGAAGGCCCATATGCTGAATTAGGCTTTAGTCTCAGAAGTTCACACTGATGAGTCAGCTCAGAAACTCTCCAAAATTAAAAAGGGGGACCTCCAAAGGTAAAAGGTGTGTGTATTTGCCAGCCCAGAATAAACAAAAGCCTGTCAATCAATTGAGTTTGGCAGCTGTGTTCACAGAATGATAAGGGTTTATCATCTGCCACCTAACTTTAGGGAGCCTGTTAAAATGTTGGGATTGCTTTTTAGTTCGTCTTGGGGTGTGGTGGGGAGGGTGGGGATTTGTACTTCAAGAACATCTATCCCCTGAATCTCACCTCCCCCCCCCACACATTAGCATTTACACTTCAAAAAAACAGAAATAATGGGGAGGGGAAGATTGTTTAAAGAAAATACATTCGAAATCTAGTCGAGATAATAGAGGAATGCTGGAGATAAGAGCTTGGATGTGATGTGAGAAAGGTATGGAGAAGGCAGAGCTAATGAATGGCTGTGAGAAAAGAGAAATAAACTATTTAGAGTTCTCTTAAAGGAAAAAAAAACTGGTTAGGTGATAGGAAAAGGGGTTAGTTTAGAGGATTAGGGCGGATGGTAATCTAGTGTCCCAAATCCATCTAGGCTGTGAGGACTGGGGGATTTGTTTACTGTAGTTTGCTTCAGAAAACAAAGACTGTCTGGGTCCAGTTCAGAAGTCAATGAGAGGTCAGCTGACACTGACCAAGGCAGAGAAAATATCTAACACACTATATTCTGGCTGCATACCACTAAAGTTTAGAAGGGGAAAGTGTTTAATTTTTTTGTTTGTTTTTTTTGTTTCTTGTTGTTATGGAGATGGTGATTTCTTTACTACTTTTTTTTTTTTTATTTCAGATCATTAAAGTACTTTGGTCTCTAGAGAGGGGAAAACTACACTGGTCACATAATTACCAGCTCTGACATTTACAAAAGTTATAGAGGTCTT